GATACGGTTGACGTGTAGCGTTGTTGGAATATTATTAGACAGTAACTTGGTATGTGTGTGTTGCCATGACGGTTTCATTGCCACGTCGTGTTCGCACCGCGTTCAACATGAAGGATCGTCGTTTTTTTGGAGGTTGGGGGACTTCATTTCTGTCCTCCCTTCATTGGGTTTCACAATTTTCTGCGACGACCTTGCGAACAAACGCCAACAATCGACGCTCCAACGTCTTTCAATTTTTATATTTCCTGGGATAAATATATACAGTATTTCCCTTGTGCTCGTGAGACGAGGCCCGCAATTATTTTAGACGCGTTCCGTGTGTTCTAAGTTTTAGTCCTAAAGAACGCTTATTACTGTGTCTTATGTATAGAATCGGATGTCGGATTTTCTCGTCCGTCGTTGTTGCTGGTATGAGTATTGACCTCGAATTTCATGCACCCGGAATGAATATGCTTTCGAACTAGCTTTGATTATTTATTGTAATTGTGATGGATTCGTCGAACGCTTGTTCGGGGCTTCGTAGTTCTGATGTATTCGAAGTTCCCTCGTGTAAGCGGAAACCAATAATATTTCCATGATAACTGAGCTTTCCTTTGAATATTTTCCTTACGTAATTCTGTCGAATTCATCTTCCAGTTTGAAGCGTTCCTGTTCGTCTTCTATATTCGTTTAAATTGAATCCGTTTTTCGAAAGCCTACACTTTTATTCATGTCGCTTATGCAGTTTTATGTTAATAAAAGGCGGAGTCTACATCAATTTTTATGTATAACGGATTTTTTTCTGGTTCCATGCGGTTCTGTCCCCGTGTTGTAGGGGTTCTCTAGAGCTAATTTCTTTCTGGTTCCTTGGATTTCGTTGCAGAAAACGTCCACGTACTGCATTTATTGTTGTGAGGGTTGCCTTATTAGGATTACATGTAAACTCTCCCTGAAATGATCTTGTTTACAACGAGTGTCTGTGTAGAACGAATTTTCTTTTCGTTCTATGGGGGTTTTCTAGTCTCCCAAATTTCATTGTAGAGAGGCCACCTGTACTGACTGTCGACAGAAGGTACGGTTAGTTGGTCGGCGTCCTCACAGTAGTTTTAAAGGGACTTCGTAATAACTGTGGTAATACTGTACTGTAAAACGAATGCCTTCAATTAAAAGTCGTGAGTACTGCGCATTTGTCGACCTTTTTTCGAATGTTTTGACATAGAAGGCTTTTCGAAGGTGAATTGCTCGCAATTTGCGGCTTAGTCGGTAAGGTTTCACATGCAATCTGTTCGCACCGATGACTTGCGGTGGCGCAAGTGTCCCTGCTCACCGAATGAGTGCAAGGCAAAAATCATGATGATTTCTGGTGTGTCTGTGTGTGGGGGGAAAAATGTATGTGCGCGTTTCCGGCGGAAATTACGGCTACCTGTGCGTGTGTTCGACCGACTGACTGCTGCCGTGCATTGCCGGACCGTTTCCTTTCTTGTCCACGTTAACTATAATTAACGCCTGCGTGCTTTTGTGGATTATAATTTTTTTTTTGGGTGGGTGCAGTCGTGTTCATTTGGAGAGAGACGAAGAGAGAGAGAAAATACGGTTTTCCTTCGTGATCGTCACGGGATGAAAATCGCGGCGCTTCGGTGATCGCGTGGAATTCACGAGGTCGAGCTCTTGATTTGATGGCCGAAATTATCATACGAGGCTGGATCTCGTTCATACCTCGGTACTGAGTTTGAACACCTCTCAATGTTTTCGTACTTGTTCGTGGTTTCGAATTTATTGTCAGCATCGAATCTCTGCTGCATCATTCCTTTTTTTCTGCAATTTTTTGGTATCGTCTCTGGACGATTTTAAATCTCTCGAACCATTTATGCCTATTTTTCGAATCTATTGATCAAGGTTGGAAATGTTGCTTATTGTGTTGCATACTGCCGTGTGTTCCCAAATACTTTATATGACCTGCGATCACGCGGTTGAAATCCAGTTACATTTTGAGCAGATATTAGAAAACAGCAAACACCAAACATTATTTTTCTGATGGAAAACTACCATTATCGAAGTAAAAACTGAACCCTCATGTTTTAAAAATGGGAATTTAATTTTGACTTTTTCGCGGAAGGGTTCTTGAACCCTGAACGATTTCAACGAGGAAAACTTCGTTGATTTTAAAGCATTATGAGCTGTTTGCCAACGAATATTGCTCAATGCGTTTATATTTTAAACTCGAGAAATTGTGTGCACATCTTTGAAGTCTCTTGAGCAAATAAACGAGACATTTCTTATAGGCAAATCTCAATCTGCGGGTCCTCTACTTGAATACAACATCGCGGGTTCCGGATGCAACGTAATTTTTTGAGGTTCAATCATGAACGAAGGATAAACTGCGGATTATCTCGTATTTTTGTTAGGGTCGGAAGATGAATTCGTCATGAACGGATCCGTCGAAATTGTTCGCATTTTTGCCTCGGGGAGGTGGGGGAGAAATATTTTCTCGCGTATCGCGTGAGAATTCGGAATGTTGGATGTCGGCAACACTGGGGGGCGAGCTGCATGCTGTGATACGTCATTTGTATTTTGAATCTGACACTCGAGCCATTTCCTGTTCATCTCATCCGCATTTTTTCTACATGTTTTCGAGGCGTGGAATGCGCGATTAGCATTATGGAGCCCCTTATGAAGAAGAAAAAACCCGGCGCTCTCGCGAGTTGCATCAGAAGCACAGGGAAAAAACATTTAAGAAGGATTGCGCGTGTGGAAAAAGGAGCTTCCATAAATGTTTTCACTTGAATTATTGTCCGGATCTCATTCATGTTTATGTCGGAGAACATACATCTGAATTTACCGCGTCTAGTCTGCAATTCACCGTACTTTTCTTTCAGTTGGCCTCGCTTCTAACACAGACACATTTTCAACGCTCGTTTGACAGGTCCGAAAAGGTACAGTTTTTTTTCTGGTCTGAATAATGCCTTGTTGCTGTCGGGATTTTGTCTTTTGCCGAGTTGTGTGAGGTTTTCGCTACAACGGTTTCCGAGACGGTGGGTGTTTTCGGGTCGAGCAGATGTTGTAATGATGTCCAAGCAGCTTTCACGAGGTTATTACAACGGGTCGACAAATGTGTTTCGAACAAATTAAATTGAATTTTTGCAGCAGAGCTGCTACGAAACCATTGTATTCGCTTGTTTATAGGCCACACTTTTCCGCCGAATATTAACCTGGAAACCTGCTTGCGGCTTATGCTAGAAACATTTAATTTCACCCTGCACAACTTCCGTACCTACCTGTACAGCCAATTATAGAGATAATTCGATGCATGGGGTGAGAAAATTACACTTGTTTCTGGCGTATTTTCTACATGGAATTCGTTATGCAGCACTTCTGCAGATTAGGTGCTTGGAGATTTGTTTTACCATTATCAAAGTTCCAGCATTTGCCAGAAAAAGTTAAAAACTTAGTCGTGAAAAAATTTGTGCATCCTTTTGTATGAAAAGGGTTGTTGATTCGATACAGTGGATAGGCATAGATCAAGTTTTTGAATTTCTTGGTATACTTGCTTCTCTCCAAGCCAAGTTGGCGGCACTTCATGGATTTGTAACTTTCTGTGAATTGATCTCCCACAGCGTTTTTCTGCGCGAAGTGGGAAATCCTCTTAAAATTATGCCAAGTGCTCCTCGAACCACTGGTGCTCTCTTGTGGAAATATGCTACTGAAATACAGTATTTGATGTGGTCTGAAAAATTATTATCCACGAGGGATGGAGTGTGGGGAAAAGGCAGTGGGGAAAATCGTGTTTAGAGTTTGCTCATGTAATTCTAGAGGGACTTCTGGATAAGACTTCGTAACAATCTTCCACTGTGGGTGTAACACGTAATCCGGGCTCGGGTTGATCTGAAGGATTGCTTCGGAGGTCGCTTTCGGCGTCGCGCTGTCTTCCGCGTTCGCTCTGAGCACCTGGCGAACGCGAGATGCATACATTTAATAGCTAGTTGATCCGTTGAGAACAAGTCGGATTCTTGGGTTAATTTTTCTTCTATATATTTTTTTTGGTCGATAGCAGAGCCCCCGGAATGGGTTCTTGCCTTCTCGAATCCCTTGTTCGCGGGATTATGAAAATGAGCGTCCCGAGTTGAGAGGACACTGGAGGCGTGACTGGTTTTCATGTTTTTGTCACGTTGGGTTGAATAATAAGTTCGTGTTGCTCCGGCTTGCATCGCGAAGCTCGTTGATGCGACCCACACCTGCGGTTTATTTCGAATTTGTTGATGACATCATTTCCTGTACGATATAAGTTTTGATGACGCTTTGTTTTCGGCGTGATCATGAATTGTTCGACCCTGCTTATATTTTATATACACTAGGACTCCCCTGTATGTTATGACTTTTAAAAGGTCGCACAGGGTTCTTTCCCCGTGTTATACGGGCTCTCTACATGGAATTTTTACGAGTCACTTGAATTTCGTCGTAGAGAGAGTCGAAGTGTATATTTTTCAAATTCAAAGTTCGCTTTGGACTCGCCGAACTTCTGTGGGAATCTTTTCCCAGAAAAGCTGAAATTCGTGCTTAAATTCATGAGTTATTTCGCCTCTATTTCAGAGAAATACAATGGCAACGCAAATATGAAGTTTTACTGAAAGAATTAAGGTCACTGATCAGTATGGCAAGTCACGAGTTTTCTTCAAGTCATGTGCTACTTCGAGATAAACTAGTATAGTTGGGTAGTAATGTATGTGCTCTTGTTTTCTCCACGTTTGATTTTTGTTAGTTCTTGCTTTTGTAAGATTTGTAATCCCCGCTAATCTGTTGTGCATTCCACCGTAATGTTGAAATTTCAGAAGTGGGTCATGTGATCTATTGTTCAGACTTCGGAGGGCAGCTTAATCGAGCCGCTTTCAAGTGGAACTTCTCAGTCCCCCTTTTGAAGAAGTACTTGCCGTGGTGAATTTTGTGTCGGGATCATCGACTGAGCTGTTTCTTGTGTGTGTGTTAAATCTCAACTTTCATTTTTCGGTTTTTTTTCTCTCTCACAGAATGTGGACCACAAAATGTCGTTGCGCAGCAAGCGAGGACAATTGCCTTTCGTCGAGTTGAACGGAGAGGAAATCGCGGATTCGGAGATCATCATTGAGGAATTGGCGAAGCGGTTCGGCAAGAACTTGGACGACAAATTGACCGCCGAGCAACGATGCTTGTCTCTCACGACCATTTCGATGATCGAGAACGAACTTTTCTGGTGAGTCCCACTTCTTTCGTTTATAAAAATTTTTATTCTGGTTTTCTCACACGGAGTAAGGGGACTCCGTGAAATCTTTTTTTTTCTTCTTCGGGGTAATGATCGCGTTTCGAATCAAGTAGCACGGAATTCGGGGAAAAAGTACTGTGGGCTGTTGAATTGAGTGTGATGAAAGTGCGAAACTCGGTACTGCGTTCAAATCGTCCTCATATTGCTGAGAAGTGGGTTACGTTCTTTTTGTGTACCCGTTTCTGTTCATTTCTTTTTGGTCAGCGAAATTGGACGGATTTGAAAGTGAACCGACACCTCGTTAAAATTCTGATGAAAATACTATTTTGTCACGATTATCGTCCGATTATGTATAACGATTGTAAATGGCATAATATCCCCGTAAGTTCTTAGGAATAAAGGAGGGTATAGAACTATAGATGATCAACGCGGAAACATGTGCTGGTGATTCACAAGCTTTCACTACATGAGGAATGAAGTACAGTACTGTACATTTACTTGAGTTTCGTGGTTGCTCTAGTGTCTTGTAAGGTGTGCAGGTGTACAGTTGTGGCAAGATTCAATGCAAGTCGTTCATTTTTTTTCAATTTTCACAGTTGCTGACTTGACACGCAACTGCTTACTGCTCAACAATTGACATTAGATTTCTACCTTCTGGCAAGATTCAATGCAAGACGTTCATTTTTTATCAATTTTCACAATTGCTGACTTGACACGCAACTGCTTACTGCTCAACAATTGACATTAGATTTCTACCGTCCCCTTAAAACGAATCAGTCGCCGAAATTAGCCCGTTCTGCTTTACAGGGTAATTGTCGGATCTGGCGCATCAAATCCTGAAGTGAAGTTTTTGTATTCAAAATGAGGTTAATTTATCCATATATTTTTTCAATGAAAATGAGTACGATTTAGATACTTGAGACTATCTGCACAGTTCATCGCAATTATAAAAAGTACTGTATCATGCACTGTCTTCTCGATGTAAAACTGACGTCCGTATCCGCCCAACCAACGGAACTGAAACAAAGGGGGCGTTATACCGGAACATTTAAACCAGCTTGACAGTGTGTGAAAATGAGTCATCAGTGATGACTGAATAGAATAATTGATGTCAAGAGTTTCCTGTACTTATCTGCGTCTCGATTTCCGACGCTGTTTTGTCATGTGAACAAATTGAGTATACCGTACTTTGAATTTGAAATAATGCCCCACAATGTCTCAGAATAACGGCAGATTTCGCTTTGTTTCTAGACTGCTCTTCCCAGTGCCATGACAGCTCCGAGGGATGATCGTCGAGAAGGGTAGACATGGTAGTCTTATCTTCATACCCAGATCAGGGTATTAATACCAGACCCGTGGGGGGGTTGGGAGTTTTCGGGGCGAATGTTCATAAGCTATTATCTCATTTGACTTTCATGAAAAGTCGACAAAGCCGAAGGCATGAGTCGAAGGGGGGGGGGGGATCCGGAAAAAGCCGGGGGGTTTAGGTGACCGTCGGTCCCTGATCGATCTGGCGGTTCGTCAGTCAGACTAGCGAAAGTGTGTCGAAAGGGGGTAAAAGGAGGGGGTGGGTGTCGGGTACGCGGGGTGGGTTGAATCGACGGCCGTCTGGAGCGTGGGGAATCCCCAGGCCTGAATTTTCCGGTCTTGCCTGGCCTAGAAAAGCCCGCCTGGTGTTTGGTGCTGCTGCTGCTGCACGCAACAGACTTTGCTGTCTGTCGAAAAGAGGTCTACGTCTGCTACGCTGCAATGGGTTACTGTGAAGGAAAGGACGTCGACCGACTTTTTCTGTTCAGATGAAACTCTATGTGTAATATAGTTCTTCGCACGAAAATCCTTATGTAAAAGTTAGACTTAATTCTCTTTTTACTCAGATTTGGGTCTTCATTTCTTGCTGGCAATTTAAGATTAAAAAGAATCGAAGGCTGTTCTGAATACCAGACGTAATCAATATCTTCTAGAAATCTAGAACAAAGGTCGCACGTTTTTTAAGACTGAGAAAAGCTGTGAGAAACTTCGATTTTCTGCACTTCCTTCTAATTATACCCTCACGATTTGGATATTGTTTTCATCCGATTTTGGAAATTCTCTCTCTCGAACTTCAAATGCCATTTTTGAACTTTCGATGCTTATTGCAAGTCATTGGTTATTCAAGGCCATCTTTGTGAACGTAATGAATTATGGAAGAGATTCTGGTATTTTCCGAAGCATTGATCTGGTGGACAGAGAATCTTAATCACGTGAAAGATTGGATTCGATGTAGAAAATCCTTTGAAATAAGCGGGATTGTCTGAACTGTTTATCTTGCTCTATTAAATGCTGCTACGAAATTGAAAATGTTGGCTTTGCGCCGAAATCGGACACCACTCGTTTCATTTGTTTATGCGTCTCCAAAGAATGAACTTGTGCTCTTTTTCATCCATAAACATTCGAATGCTAACTCGGGAAATTTCGATGTGATCTTCAAACGGTGGCTGCAAACCGGAATTCATGTTCCCTCAATTTGGCGAAAAGAAGAAAATCAGGTCTTCAAAGAGTGTCTCGTTCTTGGCTGCTAGCTAGAGCATGTAATTAGTTTAATGAAAAGCTTCTCACGGACTGGAAAGTCAAAAATTCCGTCAATGCTCGTCTTGGAATGAAGCATAATTTGACTAAGTACCGGAACGATTTCGTACTTCATGACATTCTTCTGTTCTTAATGCGGCGCGTGCTCTACACCGTAGCACTTGGAAAATTATTTTCCAAAAATTTTAATTGCATAACTTCTTGGAAAAAGTTTAAACGACGACGTGCTCACTGTTATGCAAAAATACGAGAGAGCACGTCACTGGTTCCTTTTTTTTTACTTCAAAGGTGGGATGAGTGTTAATCCTGCACTGGAGAGCTTCACTTTTCTGGAGGATTTTCTCTTCTTTTCTGTAAAACATGTGAGAGAGTTCTTCGAACTGACGGAATGGCCCTTGAGCGTGTTGGCCATGATCGACACAGTTTCGTACCCTGACGAAAGTCACCGCGGGTTGAACATCCTTTGCTGGTTTTCGCTAATTAAATTAACGGAGTAAGGCCTATAGAGCTCTGAAAATTGGCTGAGGCAGCGATGGAAAATGGACATGCTTGAATAATGTCGAACAGCTCACCAATTTTCTCTCAACATGGTCTGCGTGCGCTGTATCAATTATCATATACAGTACTGTATAATTACCTCAACACGGAGCAGTCCGACTTGAGAAACGAATTTATTTCTTGTTCTTCGTTACAAACGAAAGAAAAAGTAAGGTATAACTTTCATCTTCAACTTTTGTCATTCGTTCGTCGGAAGTCACAATAATTCAGAGAGAAGGTGTCAATTTGACGAGATTGAAATATTTTATGTAAAATTCACAGACGTTGTGTGCAGTATCTTGCTGTATATGAGCAGAAACCGTCGTATTTCAAGCATTGTGAATATTTCCTCAATTATATCTTTTGTTGACCGACGGGGGTTAACGTTTTCCGTCGTCCTCGGTGGCCTAGTGACATTTTCCATAATATGTACACAGCGGTTCAGTATTTTGTTGTTGGAAGTATTCTCCCGCTTGTGCGTTTCCGTTGTTATTGCAGTTGAAGTGCACCCTTGTCGAAGTCTCCCGTGGTGATTCATATACCCCTTGTCGTCTCCCTTTTTTCTCTCGTGCAGATCCTCTTACAAAAAGGGATGACTCGCGAACCGTGTCTGACATGGACTCGTGTTCGAGGTCGCACGCCGGGCTTCATGTTAGTTCTCGCCTACATGACCTTGGTTCTTCTTCTTTCGGCGGAAGACGTGCTAAAACTGGATCTGGTGGCATAAATAATGTCCGCAAAAATAGAGTTGGGGAAAAAGGGACGTAGCGTAAACTGTTGGAGGCAGTCCCAAGGCTTTGTTAATTGGTATTGAAAACGTCTGTTCATGTGCACGTTATCGAATGAAGAGCGGTTGGAGCATTTCATCTCGGGGGTAAAAACGCTCCTTTGCTTCTTCGAAATTGATTTGAGCAAATTTAATTGAATGTTTTTACTCTTCGGAACGTTGTCGGATGAGATGATACGCTTTGTGTGAAATTGAGCCTTTTATGGTGTATAATTGGGTGAAAGTGTCGGTCCCGAAATCCGTATTAGGTCAAGATATATACCGTAATACCCGTTTAATATAAATGTTCAATTTTGAAATATGTGGAGACTTCTCTGTTTATCAAGCTCTGAAAAGTGTGTCGAAAGAATTTAAAATTTTACATCATACTGTAGCATTGGTGTTGTGATAAATCCGGCGAGGCTTCTGAAGTGTTTATGATGAATATAACGAGTTCGAATCAATTCCACGTAAAGAATTTCTGAGAAATTCTCAGAAATTTCTTCTGAGAAATTTGAGAACAACAGCGAGGAAGAATTGAAACAAAAGAGGTAAAAACGTCGACATTTCATTTCAAAAAAATGAGGGTTAGAAAACACTTGCAACACTCGTAAACAGTTCCCGTGAAGGTATTGAGGCAACATCGTGAAAGAAATATTAGTGTCCAAGGTGAGATTGGTTTTACCTGTGTTACGGCTTGCTTTGAATTACCTTATACAGTACTCAAGAGAGTATACGAAGGGTTCAAAGGGAATAGAATCTAATTTTCCTCCTAGTTTTATTTCCACGCCGGCATTTTCCCCTGACCCCAAAGTACTGCACCCAACTGTTTCTTTTTATCCCCCACCTGAAAAAAACAGTAATTCTGATATCATTCCGTCCTGCATAACCTTGCCTTGTTTGTCAAAATGAAATTGCGGGGCCTATTTATGGAACAATTTTATTCATGTCTTAAATAACGAGTATATTCCCATTAAATCGAAAAGATAAATGATTTGGCGATTCAAAGGTTTTGTATGTGATTTGTACCCGTCCATCCTAGCAGTTTAATGTTCCACGCTTTTCTCCTGGGAAATTTCCCCACTTCATGTTTCTCTCGTGTCATCGGATTTATAAATATTTTAGTTCGAGTCCAGTACCATTTGTGTGAAATTAATGAAGTTCCGAAAGCTGAGGAATGATGGACTTTACCTGGTTCCCCAGTATAATTTCAATGCAATAATTTGTCGAAATTAAATCCGCGAGGACTACGATTCCGGCGGGGAAAAAAATTAAATGAAGAGCCGGCGACTGTAGGAAGGGCAACGGTCTCGCACACAAGCATCCTCGTAGCCGACAACCCTGTGCGTGCATATTGCCGTTAGTGTGTAATCCCATGGGGGGGGGGGAGACGAAGAAGGAGGAGGACGAGGAGGAGGGTCGGGATGCCGGCAAAAACGCGTGAAAGCTCGCCATGATCGGCGCGCATCTCCCTCCTTTTTCCATCGTATGCATCCGAGAAAGCCGTTGGGGTGTGTGGGGATCGGGGAGGAACGAAAAACCCGCCTGTGTTTAAACGACTCCCAGAGAGAGAGTGCGTGAAGGGTATGCATGCATGTATGTGTGTGTTGGGGCGATCCGGTGGTGGTCGTCCTCCCCCCTTGTGCTTTGGGTTCCCGTCCGCTCTTTGCCGCCCCCCCCCCCCTCCGGCCGGCCTCGGGGGCTGCAGATGGATCAATAAGTTAGGAAAACCCGG